AGTTGGTGGACATCCCCTTTACTTTAGAGCAGCGTTACCATTTTCTATAAAGAAAAGGCAGCTTTTTGCCAGTTCCAACTCCTCACAGACCAGAGTGAGACAAAGCCCTTTTTTTTTTCAACCATGAACTGTCAGCAACAAGGGCTTTAACTTTCCCTCATCTATATGGCAGCACTGGGAGCCGAGTTAACAATCAACTGATACGCTGGGTCAGAATAGACCGCCCCCCCCACTCCTGCAACTCTGCAAGGCCAACAGGAGCAGCCACTCGAGTCCTACAATTTACATGGACTGGATTCTTCATGTGCTCCTGCAGCAGACAGCTTTGCATCCATCTTAGGTGCGAACCTTGAGGATGTGTCGTAAAAGAGATGAAATCATGGAGCAGCCAGCTAGGTTTTTTTGGATGTCTGCCATCCCCCAACCAAAAAAAATCCCAGAGACTGATGAGTAAGGTATGAGTTTGGGCAACTGAAGAGACTGAACACACACACACAGGCCAATGGTGGTGCGATTTTATTCACAGTCACATTGTCAGGACTTGCTCACTCTTTACAGCACATGGCTTCATGGCACAAACTCACCTGTGACATTGACACTGACCCTTCTTTTCCCCCGAAGGGGCAATTCATGTGCCAAATATCAAAAGTAGAGCCACTTAGTTCCTTGCCACTTGAAAAGATTAATTATTGCATGCAATGGTTGGGTATCCTGTTCAGACAGCCTGGTGGAAGTGGTTAGCAGCTACAATTTACAGGAATTTGTGCAATATCTACAGTGAGTCATATAGAAATTACATTAGGAAATAATTGCTTTGGAAAGGAATGATGGGTAATGTGAGTTTGAGCTGTGTTGCTGATTCAAACGCTCCAACTCAAATGCTTTAAGTTCAAAAGGATGGTTTTATCAGCTCATTATAGGGATGCACATGTTTACCTTTGCCAACATGCTGTATTGCATAAGGCTCTAACCAAGACCAATTTTAAACAGGAAACTAGGAGATGCTGTAAGAAGAAACCTGGCTTGGTACATACATCCCTGCCCTTGGGATATCACCTTGAGCACTCAGAGACCACCGTGACCACCCCAGTACAAATGCTCAGAAAGATAATGTATATTATATAGATATGATATATAGGCATTGCATATTACATGATATATAAAGATAATGTATAATACCAGTGCACACCTGTCATTTGCAGATGAGAAAATGGCTAGTTGTCAACCAAACCATTAATTTGGGAGTATGGTCTGTGAAGCCATTAATTTGAGGGCACAGGGAAGTACCAAAGCTGTAAATGAATGAAGTGTTCATGTCCTTATCTCTTATATGAGCAAAACAATCCTGCAACTATGGGGAGAGGTAGCAGCGTCCTTTTCTGCTTCTTTGCATCCAGCCTAAAAGAAGGCTGGATGGTCTTATTTCTTTATAAATCAATAAGTGTCTATTTCTTGCCTTTTTTAACTAATAAGTCATAGGACTTCAAGTCTTGCCTTCGTGGGAAGACGATGCTAATTGGAGACCTATGGTAATTACATTGGTGTCAAGACTGACACTCAGGTCATTGAGAAAAGGGGCTTTTGGAGCATTTAAAAAACTTGACAGGGAGGTTGTCTGAATTTGGCTACCAGCTATTTCCCTTCAAATAATTAACTAGCACTTGGAATCTTTAACCAAGATGCCCTCAGCCAAACAGCCGCCTCATATCTATGCACACAGCATATGCACTCCATGACCCCCTTGGGACCTTCATCAAAACCAGACTTGGTTTTCCTGATGCTGTTCACGTATGGGGGCAGGAGGGGGGGTGGGGGAAGCATAGGAACAAAGCAAGCAGATATTTATTTAAATAGTAAAAGCCCTTCATAAACAAGCTCAAAATGAATATCCCAGCCTCTAGATCTTGAAGTGAAAGAGCACAAATAAAGCAACTAAGATCCAGAGCTACATGAATACAAATAACTTATATTAGCAGTCCAGTGCCACTGCAAATGTATGCAAGTACTTATTTGTTTCCATCTCCCTCTCTCACACTGCCACTTCCAGGGCCAGCAGGACTCCCACAGGCATGTTAACTGCTGACAGACAAGGGAGAGGACTTTATAATATCACTCCTCTAAAGGAGCTCTGCTCATAAGACAGCAACCAGTAAAGATCCGCATGGGTTAAGACTGAACAAAGCACTGGATCTATCCAAATCAGACCACTCTGGGCACAGTGAGCCACAGCAGAAAAGTGGATGTTTGCTGTAGAGTCTACTCAAGGCAGGAAAGCAAAGGTGGAACCACAGCTCAAAAAACTACAAGGTAAATCCACTCATCTAATGGAAGAAGAGACTTGGCATTATCATTTCATATTTGCATTACTGTAGCACCCAGGCATCCTAGTCATGGACAGGGGTGACACTGCACAAGCAGAATAAGTGGCAACAGGATAGAGTACAAAGGCACTCAAAGAACAACCCCAGTCCTTCCGACCACAAAAATACGCTGGGTTAAGCATACAGAAACTGGAAGGACGCCATAGAAAGCTGTATTAAAAGAATGCATGCAGGTTGGGGTAGAGGTTGACAAACAGGAGGGGTTCCACCAGAACCACTTGCATTTGAGATGGAGACACAGATTTTAACAACTCATGCATCTCAGCTCACTGAAGAAACACAGAGAAGGCTTGACAGGTAGGTGAACAGGGAACAGACTTTGTTTCAAACTGGAAAAAATAATATTCCCTGACATCTTTCACACAGGTATCATTTTAGTTCATCGCAAAAGTAACTCATTCCTCTGCAGTTTATGTTTCAGGGAGCAAGCACCAATCACTGGACTTGCACATTCCTTTGCAAGTGCCCAGGACTAGGCAGAATGACTAGACACCTCTACATAAGCAACACAGTCCCTATCACTAGATGGCTGCCAACGCTGGTATGAGACATTATCAGGTCTGGCCCAGGTCCCAGAACCGTTACACAGAAGCTGGAGACCTTTTTTTCAACTGAAGCAAGAGGGAGATGAAAGGTTATCGCTTCCACTCTGAATACAAACACAGAGCACCTCTCTCGGGAAACAAGCAGCACACTGCCCTCTAGCCTTGAACGGGGTTAAAAGCTGGTTCTGCTCAGACAGACGAACGGGTGCTGTGGAGCGAACACCATAAATGACTTCAGTGCTTGGGTCAAGCACTTCAACCCTGACTAGGTCCAACAGTGCTTGGGCTCATGGCCGATAGGAGCATGACAAACCATGGCTTCAGGCAAGCTGTTCAGAATAGGTGAATGCCATGGACAATTCTCCCTGGGGTTTTCCTCTGCTCTCTGAGAAGCAGAAGTGGGATGATTCATCTTTTATACAACATGAAGATTGCGGGTGATCTGACTCGCGTGATTGTACTGACATGTGTGCTGGTTTTGAGAAGGGAGCAAACATTTTGCGCAACGCGACTCTCCAGCTTTAATCCTGTGTTGAAAAAGCCCTGTCTGAAGGATGCAAAACTCGAGAACTCTTGGTTCAAAAGTGATACCTTTTATTAGACCAACTAGGAAATCACAACACAAAAAAAAAAATTATCTGAGGGAGTTAAGTGTTTGACAGACGTGGGGCAGAAAGGTGCCTGGTCTCTGTGGCCAGCCATCAGCACCTTTAGGCAAAGCTCCCAGCCAAGATCTGTTAGCATGGGTGGTTGGGAGGTTTGCAGATCCCCCTGTCTGATGTTTCTCCGTTTGGCAGTGAGGTGTGAAGGAGGAAGGTGAAGCAGAGATGAAAGGAGCCATCCTAGAACCTAATCTTGATGGTCTGGCAAGTCAGCCTCTCCAAACACCAAAGAAAATTTAAAAGAGCAAGGAGCAAAAGGCTCATTTGATGCCTCTGCACCTCCTCCTTAACTAATCCCGCTAACCTACAGCAGCTGCGTCTTGCTCTGCTCCCCACTGGAGCAGAGGAAGCATTGCACGGTTCTGGCCAGGCGGCTCCACTGGAAACAGGGCGGTTAAGGGACCCTTGGCACACCGACTTGGATCTCTGCTGAGCAAACAGAGCAAATCCACCTTAACACAAATCCACATTTAAAAAAAAAGAAAAGAAAAGAACAACAAAGCAATCCATTCCAGTAGAAGGGGAAAAAGAATTGCAAGGGGGGGAGGGGACGGGAAAGAGAATTGCAGCAAAACCTTCAAGCTGAGCTCCCATACAGAGACCACCACCCCCGCCTCCAGCCTGGGAACAGATCAAGTCCGGTCCCACTCCACCTTTTGAGGAGGTCACCTCCACTGAACAGCTCTTTCCAGGTCTCTTCAGCACTCACACAGCCCCCGCTATTGTATGATCTGAGCAGCTTCAGTGTTTCTATTCTCACAGCTTTGAGAGGGAAGAGAAGTGCTTGCCCCATTTCATCCACGGGGAGGTTACAGGGCTTGCCTGAGGTCACGCAGGAAATGGGATCCAGAGGTCTAGCGCATCCTGGGCTAGGATGCCACAGTCACCAGCTCTGTCCCTATCTCTGCTGGTTGCTGAAGGCAAAGTTCACTTTGCTTCAGCTACCCACTGAAGAACATGACCTGTATTTGGAGAACCGCTGCCAAATTTAGAAATAAAAAATCTGAGCGAGAGGTGGAACGGGCTCTTGACAAGCACCTTGCCTGCACACAGCAGAGACTGGCGCTTCCAGTCCGCTGCCCTCTGCCCTGAAGAGCAGATGGGGAAGGGGCAATTTCCCCCTGAGCTCTGTTCAAAATGCATTTATGGGGGAGGAGGGGAGGGGGTCTAAGCCATCAGCTCTGCAACCCTGACCGTTACTTCACTGTCAAAATAGGGAGGGGAGATCAAAACCACCCCAGATCCCCATGCCAGAAGAGAAGCAAAGGAGAGTGCTTCTGTAGGGGGCTGATGGGGGCACACAGAGACCTGATCCAGCTGGCTCCAGGGCAGGCTGCAAACAGACCTTTAGGGATGTGGCAGGAAGCAGGGGAGCAAAGGGATGGCCAGGGTGGCAGGTCCTGGGTACTCACGTAGTGCTTGGAGGGGTTCCTCCTCTTTTCCACGTCCACCACATGCACGTCCAGCACGCTGTAGGCCAACATCTTCGGCCGGGGAGCAGCCAGGCCCCCGGGAGGGCAAGGGGGCAACCTGGCTCCTGCCTGGGGAAGGGAAGGGGGCGCCGGGCTTCCCCAGCTCGCCGGCTCCCCGCCCTTCGCGGAGGGGGTGGGAGTCTCCGGCCCCGCTCCGCGCTTCCCCGGGCACGGCGGCCGCGGCAGGGACAGGGACCGGGACCGGGACCGGGACCGGGACCGAC